ACCTTCAGGCTCGCAGGCGTCCACGAAGACAGAGTCCTGACGCCGATGGCGGAAAACCTCTACCGTGACTTCTGCAGCGCCCGCAACTGGGAGGTGCTGCCGGGAGCTGGCGAGACCCTGAGCCAGTGCTGCCAGCGCGGCTTCCGCATGGGAGTCGTCTCCAACTTCGATAAGCGGCTGGAAAACATCCTCTCCCAGTGCAACCTGCGGCACCACTTTGAATTCGTCCTCACCTCCGAGGACGCGGGCTTCGCCAAGCCGGACCGGAGGATCTTCGAGAAAGCCCTGCGCCTCGGCGGCATCCCCCCGGGGAAGGCGGCTCACGGCGGGGGTGACTACTCCCGGGAGTACAGGGCAGCCCGAGCCGTGGGCATGCACAGCTTTCTGCTTCGGGCTGATGGGAATGGCGAGGAGCCGGCGGTGCCCCCCGAGCACATCCTGCCCACGCTCAACCACCTCCTGGCTCTTATTGAGAAGGGGTAGCTGCGTTTTGGAGGAGGACCAGCACCGTTGGTGAGCAGTGAACTGGTCCTGGCATGGGATTTCTTGCTGCCAGTTGGGCAGGGAAAAGCGAGCGCTTCTGAGCACAGGGAGCAGTGCTGCCACGGAGCAGGAGGGGTGTTCGTACAACAAAATGTATCTGACACGCAGCGTTGCTGCTGATGTCTTTCATCGCTCTAAAAACACTATGGAGGGGGCTCAGAGGTGGTGCCTTCCCCCAGCAGAGCTGGGGACTGGGTCAAGCTGAACTCCAGAAGGCTTGTTCTGGGGGGGGAGGGATAGATGCCACCCCCCTTCATCCCGACAGCGGTGGCTGGGAGGAGGTTGCAGCCCCCCTGCTGTGGGCAAGACAGTCTGAGTTGGGGAATTTAATTTAATTTAATGTATTGCCAATTAACATCAACTTTGCATTACTGATTTGGGTATTGAGAAATAAAGAGAAACTTTAAACAGCTAAGGAAACATCTTTCCTGCCCTTCTCCCTGGCTCAGCTTCACTCCAGCACCTCTCCTTCCTTCCTCCCTGCCCGACAGCAGCTCCCCGTGTTTCTGCCATGTTACTCTTGACACCCCGTGCCCTTTGGCGAGGCAAGGAGCAGCTCAGGTCCCTTCTTCTGCCCCTTGCTTCTCACTCCTCTGCTCTGACATGGGCTCCACCATGGGTCACAGCCCTCAAGGGTGCCCCTGCCCTGGTGTGGGTCCCCCACGGGTGACAGCCCCCACAGTGTCCCTGCTCTGACATGGGGTGGCTCCTCCCAAAAGTGTGTCTCCAGCTGTGTCCCAGTGATGTCCCTTTCCATGCACCTCCTCCCTGCTGCTTCTCCAAACACATGTGTTTTCTGAAGCCCACCATCGGGCTGGAAAGCTGCCCTGGGTCAGAAAGGAATTAAATGATTCACCTAAAAGCGTTACCCTGACCCCTCGCTCTGCCATGGCAGACGTGGGCCAGGTGTAGCCTCCAGGAGAGGAAAGCTGGTGTAAAACACGCGAAGAACAGAGCAGTGTGAAGGCAGGTCTTGTCTGAACGCCCCTGTACACATGCCAATAGCCCAGTCTGGGCTCCCTTCCCCCAGGAAGGTACTGTGTAGTGCATATACAGTCACTGTATATACAATTGTATATCCACCCCCCAGCGGGCGCAATGCCTCGCTCACCGGACAAGCGAGATGCTCTCATGTGCCACAGCAAAGACGGGATAGAGGGGCTCCGTGAAGGTCTCCCTGTGGGAGAAGAGGATGGTGCAGGAATTGGGGTCGTAGAAGAGCACCTCCCCTCCCGCAAAGTCAACCAGCACCCCGATCTCAGCCGGAGACTTGATCAGCTCCACCGCCTGCGGCCGACCGGCGTGCAGGAACTTGAACTCCTTGTCGTAGCGGGAGAAGACCCAGGAGGCTGCGTTGAAGCCCAGGCGGGCTTCGTTGGCAGACCCCTTCCGCGGCAGGGAGCCGTAGCAAACCCCCAGCTTGTAGGCACAGCTCTTCTCCACGCTGATCTTCCACGCGCAGACTCCCGAGTGGAAAGCCGCAGTAGCCAAAGCATTGGGCCAGTGGTCAAACCGCTCGGGGCAGTCCAAGTCCACCTTTGCTTTCTTGGGGCTGAAGGTCAGGGTTTTCTTGTCCTCTGACAGGCTGAGGTGGGGGCTGATGGTTTTCTCATCGATGTGAATCTCCTGGGAGCCTGCAACAGAAGCCGCGCGGTGAGCGCTGACTTGGTAGCCCGCACCTGAACCACCCGAAGAAGTCACGGCCATTGGAAACACAACCAAAACTGTCCTCTCCTCACACATCACCCCTGCGGACCCATCTGCTCCCCCGGGGTGACACGGTGCTGAGGGCCCAGGCTGGGTGCCAGCACAGCAGCTCCCCACAGCCTCCCCTCTTGAGCCAGGGCCAGAACTGTGCAGAGACTCACCAAAGCCCAGACTTCCCCGGACACCTCCCCACCCTTGCTCTAGAAGTTCTGCAGAGTCAGAGAAGATGCTGCTCATCCCACTCCAACCCTGGCCTGAATCCCCACAAAACAGAACTCAGCAGGTTCGGTTCATCCCGCTTTTGGGAGAGACCCAAATCTGAGCCCCATCCCTTCCCACCCCCACTGAGGGTGAGCAGGACCTGACTTCTCCTCCCCCAGCCGGGGTGAGCCAAGGGCCTGCGCAAGGACGCGCAGACGGCAGGGCTGCTTGCAGAAAACCTGCAAAGCCGGTCATACGGGAATGGGGAGGAAGAGGGAGGGCTGGGCAGGGGAAATCCCTTTCCTCCCATAAAGCCCAAGGCATTAACCAACCCACCCTGCGCAGGCTGGGAGCAGCGGGGTGAGGTGGCACCAGGCGTTAGAGATGAGCACGGCCACGACTCGATTTGCTTTCGCTGTGAATTAAGGGGCTGCCCAGCTGCGCTTGTGCCACAGGGCAACCCCAGCGAGCTGCCGGCCGGGGGGCGAGCCGGGCTGGCCGGAGGATGCCTGCCCCCACTGGGCTTCTGCTCCACTCCAGACCCGCCAGCGGGCAGCACCCAGCACCCCTCACCCTGGCCACACGCCCGCCCCACGAGACCCCGCAGCGGGTGTGAGGAGCGGGTGCCGGTGCCGAATGACTGCACGAGCACTTCCCTGGCTCGGTACATTCACTAAGCAAAGAGACGCCCAGCTGACTCACCTGCGCCGGGGGAGACTGCGATCCTACCTGCGGGTGCCCGTCCTCGCCCTGCCTTCCCCCACCCTCGCTTCATGCATTTTAGGTCTCAAACAGTCACGGGAACAGGGCTGGAGCAGGTGAGGCGAGTCATTTGCTCTCCCAGTCCTGCCACCAGCAAGAGCTCTACCATATCACGTCTGCTCTGGCCATTTCCCAACCGCCCTCTGCTTGGCATCCAGCACGTGGCAGGATGAGGCCCTTAAAGAAGCAAACCAGTACACTGCAACCTCAGTGGGGTTGTCCTGGAGCCTGAACTGCTCCAGCACCCACACAGGCCCAGGTCAGCATCCCTCCCACCAGCCAGCAGCACCAAACAGCAGCAGCGCTGGCCAAGGGGTTTCCTAGGATGGCACCTGCCCTGGTGCTGCCTGGCAGGAGACGAACAGAGGGAATCAGCAGTCTGCACAACATGGAAGCACCACATACGCTTGCGTGTTAGGTGGAAGCTATTGCGAGCAACGGCGAGCAGAAAGAGGAGCTGGAGACAGCATCCGCTTCCAGCTGAAGCGGACAACCTCACTCACTTGATTTATTTCACTGCACAGCAGCCAAACGCTTGGCAGCGTGCGTGCCCGCCTGCCATGCTGTGCCCTCCCTAAGTCTCCACAGCTGTACTTGCCCATGCTGCATCTTTGTAGGTTGACTTTCCAGGAAGCCAAACACTGCTATGAATTCACAGAAAACAGAGCAGCGTGAGACCTTGTCTTCCTCTGACATTACACCTCCTGTTGTGTAACACCCATCTAACCCAGGTACGGGGCTGCGTTCCGGTGTTCACACACAGGGATCATCCATGCAGGGAAATATCAGCCCCATGACACCCACGTAGCTTCATTGTGGAATCACGATTCCAGGGGATCATCTGAGGGAGGGGAAGCACTGGCAGAGAAACAGCAGAGTAGAATCATGGAATGGTTCAGGTTGAAAGGCACCTCAAAGATGACCTAGTTCCAAGCCCCTGCCATGGGCAGGGACACCCTCCACTACACCAGGTTGCCCAAAGCCTCATCCAGCCTGGCCTTGTACACATCCAGGGATGGGGCATCTACAACTTCTCTGGGCAATCTGTTCCAGTGCCTCACCACCCTCTGAGTGAAAAATTTTTTTCTTATATCCAGATCAGCAAATTTTCCCACATAGACAAGTGTTTCGTCATGAATAAATCTGCCCTCTGGATATTCCCATGTATTCTGATGAAAAATTCCACTGGGAATTCGTGTCACCAAAAATCTATTTTCTCTGTGTACAGTACCCACTGGAGTGGCCTTGCCACTTCAGAGATGAGGGATGCTGAGTAGGCAAGTTAGCATGGTTAACATCTCTGTTAAGTACATATGTGTTAGCTGCAGCACATTTTACTACTTTTAAAAATCCAAGTTCCCATTTCCAAAGTCACACATCTAAGATTCAAATCCTCGTAGCTAGATTTAGGCACCGAGGTGGAATCCAGACCCAGCCTAGTCCCTGAGAGGCAGAAGGTCACCATGGAGCAGCCCAACCTCTCAGCCAGCTGGGACACTTCAGCCTGTGTCACCTCTGCAGAGGGTCCTCCATTGGGTCTCCAGCCAGCATCACCTCTTACCTGCCCCCCAGCAGGGCTGATGTGGGTGGCCATGAAGCAAGATCCCACCCAGAACGGTGCCAGGAGATTTACATCACCTCTTGGTTTAAGGAAGAAGCTGCCAACCCCAAACATAAGCGATACAGAAGCCTGGATATCAAGTGAAGACATCAAAGGGATCGTATTTATTTTTGAGAGTGAAATGGAGGTTCTTCTGCCTGCTGGTTTCCAAGTTTTTGACAGGCTACAAGGAAAATTGTCAAGGCTAGGAATTTACTGTTTTCAAGCAAATAAAAAGACTGCCACCTGTACAACTGCCTTTGGAAGGAGGGACCACCGAGTGAAACATAACATTATTGTGTCTCGAGGAAAGCTAGGACCACTGTGGTTAATACTAAATCTCTAAGGCTAGGTCCTGGGTGGACTATGGACTAGTGAGATAAGCCAGAAAATGACAGGCATCCTCAGCATGCAATAATGACATGTTAAATGTAACCACACAAAAAAACCCCAGAAACCCAAACCAGAGGGTAACGATAGCACCAACAGATCCACTACTAGGATCGAATGTCTTAGAATCACAGAATGGTTTGGGTTAGAAGGGACCTTAAAGATCATCTAGTTCCAACCCCCTGCCATGGGCAGGGACACCTTCCCTTAGAGTCATTACATTTGACAAGGATGCTATTGGGAAAGAAATCCATACAAAAACCCATGTCACAACAAAGAGAGTTAGGGAAAGGTTTCCTGCATGACTCGACAGCTCCGAACATCTGCTGAGAACCTGCTCAACTTTGCCAGAGCACAGCTGCAGGAGTCCACATGACTGCCAGCACTCAAAGACTCAAATCAGAGGGAAATTAATCACAAAGGGAGAGCAACACCAGAGTCTGCAGTGGAAGAAACAAACGGCAGTGCTGTCCAGTACGCACAGATTGTCCAGCTAATACTGGAAAACATAAGCACTACAAAAGCCAGAAGCACATACCTTGGAGAGAGACCTGGAAATAGGGAAAAGCTGTGAACTGCTCATCAGATTGAGGGCGAGATGAGCAAAACCCAAAGATTAATGCAAAAAGCTTTGGGAAGATGACTGCAGGGATTGTTCAGGAGGTGGCACACAGGACGAACGTTTTCAAATTGTGAAGGATACTGCCACTGTTGAGGGACAAAAAATGCATTTGAAATGCTCTAACGATGGCCTGGAAGCAAGAGGAAAAGCAAACATTTCGCAATCAGCAACGCAAGCAGGTCGCAGCCGGAAGAAAAACGTCTCTCCTTGCTCAGCAGAGCCAACACCAGCCTGGTAAAGCTGTACCCAGAGCACGTCACTGGCCTGACAAACGCCTCCGACGCAGCCTCAGCTGTACGGCAAGAGCTGAACCAGATCACAAACGCCTCCAACGAACCCCCAGCTCGTGCACAGCCACAATCTCAGCTCACCATCAGAAAGCTACTGCATTTACTCACTTCTCATTCCAGCACGTCAGAGCGTGGCACAGACGCCCTGCGGGTGAGTTCACCCTCTTTTAAAGTCACCAGCCGGCCAACCCTAAACGTGGTAAAAGGGAATTTCTGTGATAGAGATTCCTATGGCAGCGGCGGCTTCACTGCTGGCTCCCAGCGACTCAGGAAACAGCAAAAGAAACCAAGTGAGCTGATAAGAGACACGGTCTTTTCAAAGCCCTGCTCTCCTCTTAGCCACTGTCCACCCTCCCAAACCTCCTGCAGCTGCTGCTGCCCCCCTGACTGGGGGGCTCACAGCAACTGGCAGCAGCTGGGGCAGCAGAGGAGGGCAGGATGCCCCACGTCCTGGGCAGGACACAGCATCAGGATGTCTTTACGCAGCATCAGGATGTTTCTTTGGGCACAACATGAAGGTGCAGGAATCCCCAGAGAGGAGACCTGAGCGAGGCACTGACCTGCGATGCAGCAGAGAACAGCGGAGGCCCAAAGTCGATGCAGCAGTGGACTCTGAACACACTTCTGATTAAAGTTTAACTTCAGGGACTCCTGTGGCTCTAAGATTCCCTCCGCCACCTCTGTCCTAGCAAAGGGAAATAAAGAGTTATTTTGAAATCCAGTGATTTACTGACCAATGCTGGGAGGTGTTTATGAAGATCACTAGGAGGTAGGGCAGAAATATGAGCTGGAGCAGTTGCAAGAGCCGCTGCCGAGAAACTACAGCGGGGGGTTCTACACCAGCTCTCACCCTAAGCGGTACTTTCGGTTGACAGCCCTTTCTGAAGGTACTTCAGTGTTTTTAAAACCACCCCCAGCAGTCCGAGTCAACAGCCTCCGCACTCAGCAGACACAAAGTGAACGCGTCTGAGAGCGGCCATCAAGGCACAAGAGGAGCACAACGGCCAGGCTGCAGCCAGACAATCAGATTTCCCTCTTTCTCGCTGTCAGAGCAAGGGGGGACGCAAAGGAGAGCGAGCCGGGACCCCGGGTTTCACAGAGCACAGCACGGAGTGAGGATTCGCCGGGCTCCTGCAGCACACGTGTGAACTCATGGTTGCCAGGAAAGGCGCCGGCACTGGCTGCTGGTGACGTGCTGTGGCACGTTTCTTGCTGCCTACAGGCAGGCTCCAGGCAAAACCACTCCTGAAAGTCCTCCAGGCAGCAGAGTCGAGCCGGTGCCACTGGCACCCTTGGAGCAGCCATGGAAATAAAGGCCTGCAAAAACGCAGCCACCGAGCTGCCTTCTGAAGGAAGGGCAGCCCGACGTCACTGATGACGACGGCCAGAAACGCTGACATCCGCGCCCAGTTCTCCCCTTTGTGCAATCTCTCCGTCGGGTAAGGAGGCAGCTGAGCGCAGCAGCCCCCCGGGCACGGAGCACACCAGCTTCCCAGGTGGACCATTCCACCTCCTGCCAACAGGCCAGGGACAGGCTCGCCCCATCTCCCAGGGAGCCCCGTGGAGGTTTCTAAGGAGCTGGAGAAGGTCTCCCATAAGCAAGGGCCAGTGCATCTGGCAATGCCTCCGGGGAGACATTGCACATGGAGCGTTTCTAGGTGCCGGGCTGCTCCGTTGTGAGCTGCAGCGCAGCACGAGAAGCAGAGACGAGAGGCCACGCCGACATGTCTGTGCTCTGTCCTTGTCCCCAACAAAAGCAGCATGAGGGAGGAATG